TTTACTGTTCAAAAGTGGTACTTCCAGTCGGTTTTCTTCACCAAAACGATTACACCTGTATTCAACATCTCCTGCACCTGCCTTCCGACCTCAACATCCCGATGTAGTGGTATATTTCTGGATCCATGTGGTCGATATGGCTGATGCGATAGTGGAATTTTGTGTTCAGTCCAGTCGTAAAATCCGCAAAAGCAACCATCGCCCGTGAATATGACGTCGTACCTGTCTACGAGCGATTGCAGGGCCAGAGTTGTGTGGAAAACGGCCGCGACCGAGCACACCCGTGTGGATTCCTCTCTGCCAGCAAGTGCTACAACCCAGTAGTTACACATTATGTTTCCTCGTTTCAGATCGACGATGGCCTCGCTGACTTGGAGATCTACGCCCAGAGTGGTCTGTCATGCGTCCGGTGACACGACGAAGAGATGGTTGAACTTACGAACGGCGATAGCAAGCACATGCTCCACCATACCATGTATATGGTAACCACCGATCACCTTCAACACCATGGAACACGACTGTGTTATCACCCCACCTTTGTGATTAGTTAGGGAGACCGCGGCTCTTGCATTAATCAAGCACCTCCCGGTATTTACATTCACATCTACCACCGCTTCAATGGCACTCTTGCTCAGTGACCCAAGAATGCACTCTCCAACACGGGAACAATACGATTTATAGCCTTTGTACTGCCGTACTGCGCCCTTGATGGACACTGCCGCTTCCAGTGTTCCAGCTTCCAAGGAATGAAGTATCAACTCTTCGGCTGTCTTTTGACAGGAAATTCGAAATGCCCCAATATCTTGCGTAACCTGTGACGGTCTCTCCTCTAACCCATCCAATCGCCTCTCCTATTTTTGGTTTTCCGCTCGCAATGCATCCACTGCCTCATGTGTAAAACCCCTTGCAACTCAGGCAAGCTCCGCCACGCCCGTTCTCCGGATGCCGTTCATCATCTCGAGCCGATCGATCATCATCCGAGGTAGACCGTCTAGAAACTGTTCCAGTGATAGTTGCTGGCTTTGCGCATCGCCTAAATTAGATCACGCTTGGTCCATCAAATCACTTAGGTAAACGGGGAAGACGAACGGATTTGCTCCCACACCAAGCCTGGTTGCATTGGATACTCGTATCACATACTAGCAGTCTGTCGAACCCTGAAATCAGCGCTTTCTCCGCGGTAGTCTAACCCAACTTGACTGAGCCTTTCGCGCCGTCTCCAAGAGTGCCTACAACCTGCCTTTGAGAAAACTGTAGGCAATTAGCTTCGTTCGCCCCTGCTTCACCCCGACTGCCTCCGTGATATCTTCGAAGGCCTCCAGGAACTTCCTTACCTTCCCATCAACAAAAGGTTCCGGCCAAGGGATCTTCATATTCCATCACTGGCTAGTCACGGCACCAAGTGTTGAGGAAGCAACGCATGTAAAAGAGTCATGAACTAGACAACCCAGGTCTAGACAGTATAAAAGTACGAAAATAGAAACTCGGACCCATTTGTGTACTTCCTTTGTGGTACCTTTCTGACTCTGTTTTGCCGTGCCCCTTCATTAACAACGTATGGTTAAAAGCAAATTTGTGTACCAAGCGTCCTTCGTCCGCTGGGATCCCCGATTTCTTTTATTTCCTTGCGCCTCCGCATTTCCACACACGCTACTCATTAGATGTGCACGACAGAAAGAATGCGAGCTCAATGGTGTGCAGCAAAGTGTTGAGGAATGATCCAAGAAAATACAAGTGTCTAATCAGTGCGACCGCCAAAAGAAGGCTAGAAGTGCGTGACGTCTTTCTCGCCCTGAAAAGCAGTTTACAACGCAGTCGTTCGTCAAACCCTACTGTTCGGTTTCGAAACCTGGCCCACCTGATCGACAAAATAAAGAAGCTAATAGTGATAGAGCATCGCTGTTTTCGCAGCTTAGCCCATGTCTAGTGGGGACACCACGTGAGCAATGAGCGTGTTCGGCGTTGCGTAGTTGGTGCAAGAAGAACGAATGAACCGCTCAAGACCGTTATAGCACGCACCAGGCTTCGATGGGTGGGTGTGTTACGGACGACAACACATTGACCCCGCGAGGTGCGAGGCAGGGTCTGGATGAAAGAGGCCAAGGAATAACTTGGTGAAGAGGGATGAAGACCAACACTGTGAACTTGGTGTCCGAAGGACGATGAACACATCCGGTTGAGTACATTTGTTGACATGGCGATGCGCCGACCTCAATGGTGTTTGTGTCGTGAGTATCGCTGTCCCTCCCGCTCCCATTTAGTTTCCCCTGCGACCACGATCTCGTAGACGATGCACAGCATGACACTGAGCATTATTTTGCTTTTTGAACGTTTAGTTTATATTTTGCAAAATAGTTACCATCTCGCTTTTTCTAATACCTTGTTGTGGTGCGGCACAATAACTGTCTCTCATCTTTAACTAGAGTGTAATGATGATGAGGTAACATTGTGCATTTTCGGGTCTCTTCAAATAAAATCTCGGAAATCATCCCCGTATCGGAATTTCTGAACATTGACACACCTGCTATGGGAATAAGAGCCCGATCAATTCTGTTGGTGTGCACCTTCGAACACACCACTAACCAGTTGGTATTCATGCATCCCCTAGTTTCTCTAACTTATACTGACATATGGTCGTATACTTCTCATTATTTTGACGTTTTACGATTGATATACACGAAACCATTACAGCTGGTAGATTATTCCATCTTTATATCCGCCCCCTCCCCGAGATTCGTGCAAAAATGTTGAGAAGAGGGAACTCGATTACACTTGGGTGCTTGACACCTTCATCATCATCATCATCAATACACGTTAGCCGAGGGTGAGAAACACACCTCAGCCAATGTGCCGAAATAGAAAAAGGCATGGGATTAAGCAATGTAGGCTTAAAAGCCATAAAAAAGTAGCGTAATGCTAATATCACAATTGTGATCGTCGTTGGAGGGGGAAGCTAAAGGGAAGAACAAAAAGACTCACAATACAAACGCCACTTGGGCCGGCTGCTAGCTATGCCAGCTAATGTATCCAACCAAACGTGTTTATTATGCTTCGGTACACTGCCAGGCAATCAGGAAACATCAACCGAGGCCAAGTACAAATTAAGGACTTTTATTCCTCTTGACCAAGTCATCGCTTGGTCTCCTCTCCTTCCATCCACACCCTCGGCGCGCAAACAACGCATTGCTGAAGTCGGTGGGCTGGCATGCGGGATACGTGGCCCAGCCACCGGAGCCTGGTGTGTGAAATAACTGTGCTGAGCGGTTCACTCGCTCTTCCTGCACCAAATACGCGACGCTGAACACTCTCATTGCTCACGCGGTGCTCCCACCAGACATGAGCGCTTGACACTTCACTTTCCTACCAATAACATGGCAACGTTGTCCCTTCTACATGAAGAAGAGGCATGCGCACAGTCGTTTCCACTCAAACCGGCCTCGCTTGCAATACCTCACCCACTGCAGAGCTGTCCCCTGATCCGCAGCAGCAGTGACCGACTGTACTGCATACCAAGTGGAATTGAAGCTTCACCACGTGCACCCGAATTTCGTCTTCCGCAAGTTCCCCTGTTAATTACGTTGCGATGGAAACGAATATGCCGAAGACAAAGCACCGAGACATATTATCTGAATAAGTAGCTACCGATTCTGATTTTATTCGCAGAAAAAATTAACTATAGCCCAAGTAACGAGGTCGATTACATGAGTAGTGAAAGGTTTTAGACTGGTGCATTCCTTGTAAATTCAACTCACCATCGCCGAGTTCGAAACCCCCTACAGAAAATCACTTGGGTTAATGAACACAAGAGTGACAGCATGAACATTAAACACAATAGTATTCATGAGTGGAGGGTTTTGATGTAATTAATTGGGAGCTCGTCGCATCAACTTCTAAATCCTCCTCCACATGCCCGGAAAAGCACTAGACTGCAGCTTTAACCTGTTGAACATCCTCAGTAGTGCACATTCATCGGGCTGTGATGAATTCTCAAGTAAATGGATGGGAGTCACGTTTCTTCAGCGGGGCTGGCCTACAATGCTTCAGCACGCATATCGGCAGCATTCCTTTCAAGGAAATTTGGAAATCATACGTACGGGATGTACACAAGGCGGTGGCTGGGCCGTAATCTGCTCCACACTGGATGGAACAACGGTCACGAGCATTGTGCACCCCTTCCCCAGCAACGATTCACAGTCTTTTGGAGCCAGTAATTGAGGTGGAAGGTGTTAAACAGGTAGGCACCTTGACAACATTCACATCAAGTGCAGCCACACTGGGGATATCAAACAACCACCACATAATTCTTAGAAGAAACAAGCAAAACTGACACGGAATATGCGGCAGGATAACAGAACTGAGAAAATCAAATAAAGTGGAATACGCTTTATCAAGATTAAGGTTTTCTAAAAACTGTAACTAGGTGTAGCCCAACTGCGGTGGAGAAGGATGAGATACGCCACATCAACCTCAGCATACAGTCACAATTATTTACCAGTATGTCATTGACATAGCAAAACTGATACTCTGCAAGATTGCACGAGCCTCTGAGCAGCATGTGAGTGAGTTAGCGCTATTTCGCGTAACTGACTGATTACGATAGGCCAGGTGGATTTCGCAGAAAAGAGATTCCACGTATTCATTTAGTCGTGTCATGTAGCGATACATCTTATATACTTGATCAATAAGCTCTTGTCAACCAGCTTTATAAGCGCTAAAGACAATAAAGATGCACTTGCGTCTGTCAAAGGAGCACAAATGCTGCCTCGGTGACCTGACGGCAAGAGGCGATGACTGGGAGAGCACAGCCAGTGGGTGACAAGATATAGTGAAATCAGGCGCTCCAATCCTGCCAAGAATCTTTGCACTTAAAGTGTGCATCTCTCCAAGTCATCTAATTTCGCAGTGCCAACATACGGAGATGACGGAAAACGAAGTCACTCGCTTCACGAGGTTGGAAAACACCTGAAAAATCGAACGCACTCAATGAAAAACCATTGTTTAGCAAATACATGTATTCAAACAAATGAAGAATGACTGTACAGACGCAATAATGCATTCGCAGCCAACACAGGCTGAATAATATCCATTAAGGAGTAGATTTTGTAGATGCACCCAAAGCAAGCGCGATATTGGCAGCAGCTGCAGCAGCCGCCATCAGAGGATCACCTGGCTTCGAAGAATCACCTGCATGGGACGAAACTGCGGGCTCGGAGGAGTGAGCGGATGTCTTCGCTGGGGATTCCGCATCGCGCCGATGTGAGCGGCTGCGGGACCTGTGTCTGCTGGACCGCGACGGCCGAGAAGAACGCTCGTGACTATGACGGTGACTCCGGTGGCTGCTTTTCTCCGAACCTTCGCCTCGATCCGATCGCGAGTGGTCTCGGCTGGATCGAACTTTATCACGTCGATCACTGCTACGCAACACCGCAGATGTGGGCGGACAAAATCCATCTGCATCCATCAAATCATCCAGCTGACCGCGATCGTCACGAGAGGAACGCTCACGTGAACGATGAGATCGACGAGTCGAATGACGGTCATAGTCGCGTTCGGATCTGCTCGAATCGTGATGTCTGAAATGCGGTGAAGATGGAAAGTGATGTAGACGATGCACAGCATGGAAAATTGAAATAGCAGTGACATTTTTTCGAAATGAGTAACGCGAGCTTATTTCGTGATAACAGTCCAATGGCACCAACCAATCGAGCGAAGAAACGCTGTTTAGCAAGCGTAAATATGAGCATGATTGAATTCGGGCTAATCATCTTTAAACTTACTAGCTAAATGAAATAAAATACGACTAGAACAATGGCCTGAATTTAGAAGCCGTTGCCTGAATTTAAAAGCCAATAAACAGAAACAACCTTGTGTTGCATCGGTTAGTATACAGTCAAGAGAGGAATGTCTGCTCTGCTGAACAAATATATATACAAGCAAGGATCCATCACTGTTACACGCAAGCCGAGACATCATATTAGCAACAAAACGTAAAAACAAGTTGGTTTTGTAGATCGTACTGGTTGGCGTGGTTGCTAATTACTCGAGGGCAGTATACTGAATAGCTCCTACAGAGTCCAAACGAAGTTTGGATAACGGATAAAAAAACTGTTGTTCATGAGCAGCGGTGCCGTGTATACTGCTGTTCCAGCACTGATGCTTTCCGCTAGCTAATTCCCTTCGTCCGCCCTACGCCTCCTACTGACAGCGCTGCACATTCACTGGGTTCGATTAATCCCACGCCTGTTCCGTCTAGGACCACGTTGAGTCAGACTGCACGAAATCGGCGTTCTCCGTTCGGGCCGTTCAACCATAATCAACTTGATTGCTTATCTGTTCGCCGATCTTGCGTCGGTTCAGTATGCCCAGCTGATCAGCCGTCATCGAACACTGTGTCGTTAGACTGGATACGCTGGAATGCGTGTGCGCGGTGCTGTTGGTTCATTGTTATCCGGACCAACCCGTTCCTTCATTGTCTGGGAACACGTTGCGCCATACGGCACAATAGCTGAGGAGTTTCGTATCTCGATAAGTGTAGCCTGACGTATGATAACCTGCTGAGCCACACCAATTCATGTGAGCGACGCTTGAATGACTCTAAATCCAATTGTTCAATTGTTCTACGAGCTAGGCGGTTTTGTCGCGAACCTTTAACCACCATGCGAGGTGGCATCCTTAATGCAGTGAGATGCGGTGTGCAATCTTACTGAATGAATCCTCCATCCGTGATCGACTTGCAGGTGACTTTTGAAAGTGGCAGTGTTGGTTTAGGTCCCGTGATCGCTACCTTCTTTCCCCAAGACTAAAGTCGGCGCCCGTTGTTCTACCTTAAATCCGCTGGTCCTGCATCAGGAACACAGCGATGTGGCAGTAGAGGTGAATCGGGTAGCCACGTGCGTGCGCTTTTATAGATCACTGGTCAGCTGACCTTTGAAATGGCCTTCTCGACCCATGCCCAGTTTGGCTCCGCGGCTGAAAATATTACCTGAGCTGCTCGTATAGTTTCCACTTCCACTAGGTGTATTCGCCTGCGGTGCTGGTTCATTGCTCGTATATTTACGTAGATGGCGTCCAATTTAGTGTGTCGACTAGGCTGTGCTGTAACTTTTGAACTACTGGGATATATGCCTTAAAAATTGCAACTAGTATCCTGCTACTACTTACGAGTAATATAAAACAAATGGCATTTCCCAGTTGCAAATGCTATGGATATAGCGTCTAGAGAGGGGGCGACATCATCTCGTAGGCTAGCCACCGTCAGTGACAATGGAAGATAGGTGGTGCTTATCCCATTTAGTTTGCAAATTATGTAGCCCAGTCAACGTGCCCCATGGCTCAGTGGCTTAAGCTGGTGGCTAGTTGGCATCTGCTTCTAGCGGTCATGGGTTCGATCCCCAGTAGGGGACTGAGGGAATGCGCACCACCGACGTGCCCCAATAGGGCGAAACGCGTCTGGTACTTTTCCGGACTAGGCTATGCTATGTAGCTTGTGATTTGCTGATATGAATATAACAAAAAATGATTTATTGAATTGTTCGTAGAACATCACAAACACCTGCTTACGCATCGCTCTGTTTCACACTAACGCACAAATCATGTCAACTCAATTGGCGACAAAACGTTTGTGGCAAAATTTCCAGATGCGACGAAAAGTTCGTCTAACAAATGAACATGCATGGCTATCTACATTTACTTCTAAATCACACTAACTACCGCTACACATTGCCGCATCAATTTGCTCAAGTCCAGGCAACTGGCGAGAAGTGGCTACGATCGAGCTGTAGTCCTAGCCGCTGTGAGGCACTTGGTCGTTACGTCAGCCGTAAGCTAAGATGGAAACTGTTAACACAAGATGAACGGTGAATACAAAAACAACAATGGGTGCATGCACCGCAACAATCAGTTAAAGAGGTGCAACAACGCTCCAAAGTGCGGTTGTTGGTATGAACGGCATCAGCAGTATGCCAGTACGTAGTACCGACGCTTCGCTGCCACGGAACCACCACTGGTCGCACGTGGGCTATGGATACAGCAAAGGTCGCCCTGCCGCTACCGCAGGCTCGAACCCGTGCCATCAGATTACAAGACAACCTCGTTATGTTTAGCCTATGAGGCCGGCGGTTGTTAGTATGAAAGAAAGTTGTCGATATTTGCAAGAACGGAATCACAGTCTCATTTGTGGGTTTATCCAAAACGATGGACAAGCACGGGACAATGCTGTAAGGGGAACCTGTGTTCAGCTAAAGTGAAAAACAGTCTGCTAATGAACCAGCTATTTGCTACGGAAAACACTTTACTGTACATATACATGCTGTTATGACAATACCATTCGAAGGAACAACATTTTTCACATACGCAGATTAGCTGAACGGAATTCAGGTGGATAACGACCCAAAAATTCTAGTCACTGAAATGGTTAATGAAAATCCTCGTCCACTAGACAAACCCCACAAAGCGGAACTCCACGAGTGCATTGAAGTCAGGGAGAAGAATGAGTTTCAGTGGGAGCACTTTTGCTGTCTCAACCAAAAACGAACAGGGGATGTTACATATTCGTATTTCTATCACAGTTCACCTTGTAAAGCCGCGCAGAAATCACAGACGGAGGTGTGTGACCAAGTGACTTCCAGATAACAACAGGGGACACAGAATCTGTGCGAGGTGCAATTAACGCGGGCATGTGATTGGTGAATGTAACGACTGTGCAGACGGAGTCAGGTGCGAACGTGTAAATTGGGGCTGATCAAGACAGTGTATGCCGAGCCTTAGGCATGGAGCATACGATCCCGTAGAGTATGTGAGTTGGATATAGTACATCTATTGAAGGGATCCGCTTGGATGTATTGTTGTGCTTATCGGGCACATTAACTGCCCGAATTTAGAGGTTTCTTCGACGCTTTCAAGTACATTTTACACAGTTGTTGTACATCTATGTTTCCTTACCACGAAAAGGCACGAAGTCTGTTGGATGAAGGAGATATGGCGCTACTAAGTGGTACAACAATGGAACGACTGATGCCCACTGATTTCAACAAAGTGTAGTGAGAGAAAGTTCAGGAGCAAGTGGTTTGATGAGTGCACTGAGTATTCAGTTCACTCAGGTCGATGAGATACGATTTGGGTGCGGAGGATCAAGCCTCATGAGAATACAACATGAAAACCACAACCGAAAGAGTAGAAAAAACGCGTAAAGCCACGATCCAAAATTTTAGCAATATGCAATACTTAACTAGAGGTAGAAGTGTTAAGCGCTCTTCGATCGCGACGTATCAGCTAACATTTCTAATCACTTATATGACCGATTTCGTGAACCGAAAGCGAAAGGTATGGCCAGTAAATTTAGCGTTTCAGAACGTGAACAGATAGTGATGCCTATTAAATAGGAACACTGTGCGTAGAAACGTGATATCCACGGGACTATGCGGTTCAGACCACCAAGTGGAGTGTCAAATGGTCCGTTGTCAAACACCAAATGGTGAACTTCAGGATCACTTACGCGTTCGCTCCAGGACGATGATTGGTGAATACTGGCGGTCGGAAATAGGCAGAAGCCCAATGGCCCAAAAGCATGATGCAGCACTCGGTATTGTATAACACGTTCTTACATCACAAGCCAATAAGCTCCTTATCTTAAGGGATAGAGGAGGTCTTCAGAGTCCTCTTGTGCAGCAAGCCGCGAAAGCTTTCTTTATGAATCGACTAAGAGTAAGTTCAACGGGGACAGTCATGTGATCCGACCCATCATTTTGGAGTAGCTTGAGATACTGTGGAAAATTTCTGGATCAGTTCAACCCCGTGGTGTTATCTTGTCGCGAAATCGTGCAGTATGGTATGCAAGTGCATGGTGAGACCTGCATGGGAGTCGGATCTAACCTATCCAAAGGAGTATCATGATACGGGAAACAGGCAACAGGAGACCTGGTGTTAGCGAGACCATACGCGACGAGAGTGGGCAGCTGATCCACAGCCTGTCAAAACGCTTGGAGCGCTGGACTGAACACTTTGAAATGGCAATTTAACTAACCTGAGTTATCGCTTTCTTCTTCAGGCATTGAGCGCCCTTCTCCCTGGGCCGTCTCCTTGGATCCGCCCTCACGCGCAGAAGTCGAACGTGAGATCAGGCTGTTGAAATTGCATAAGGCCGCAGGGGCAGATAGAATTCCCCCAGCCCTCTTCAAATTCGGGGGACCTGCACTACTAGATGATTTACATGAGTTGCTAGTAAAACTTTGGGAGCAGGAGACAGTCCCGACAGACTGGAACCGCTCCGTCATTGTCCCAATTTTCAAGGGAAACTCCCGTTTGGAATGCGGCAATCATAGAGGGATCAGTCTGATTTCGATTGCCTCTAAATTGCTTGCCTCTGTCATTCTCCACAGACTGACTGGCACTCGTGAAAGCCAGATTCGTGAAGAGCAAGCCGGGTTTCGTCGAGGTCGGAGCTGCATCGACCACATCTTCACATTGCGTCAAGTGTTGGAGCACCGCCATGTTTATTGGCGACCCACCGTTGTCGCGTTTCTTGACATAAAAGGTGCCTTCAACTCAGTCGATCGATGTGCCCTTTGGGACTGTC